GGGGGGCAGTCTCTTCCGGAGGAGAACATATGGTTCTCCTACTAGTTTGCAAGGTAGCCTGAGACCGACTTGCAGATGAATTAAAAGGTTTAAAGTAAGATGAAAATAATTCAAGGGAAATACATTTTAAGTTAAAAATTAAAAAGCAAGCAGAGAAAAATGTTCATACTCTATTCATAATCTGATTAAATAGTAAGAGGATTTTATTAATCAGTAAAGGAAGATTGGACACCCCTATCAGAAAACTGATGAAATATATAAACAGACACATACAGTAGAGATACAAATAGCTGATAAGCTTTTGTAAAATGAGTGGTATTGATTATATTACATATATGTATATTTTAAGAAATGAAATACCACTTTATAGATGGACGGATTGACAAAAAAAAGGTGCTGGTAAACCATCAGGATGGGTGCTTAGATTCATCTTAAATCTGGTAAAATGTTTCTGAAGAGCAGTTTGACAACTTGTACCAAAAGTTTAAAAAAAGAGCATTCCCTCAGCTCCACAATTCCACGTTTTAGCAAGTTATTTATTTGGAAATAACTAGCAATGGTAACAAAGACTTATGGGTAAGAATGTTAGAAACAAAAAAATTTTATTTTTAGAAACATTTTTAATGGTGGTAGACGATAAATAACCAAAATGAGAACGGCTAAAGACGTGATGGTACCTTCAGCAGTGGGAAATGTCGTATAAAAATTTTTTAATCGTTTTCAGAATGTTATAATACATAAACTAAAATAACGCCAGCAACAAAGCTGAATGCACACGACCACCCCAGTGATCGGGAAAGCATGCACAGCCACATAAAGTCATGCACAGCAAACGTTAACTGTGATTATCCCTAGGTATGGGGTGGGGGTGGTGGCTTTTGCTTTTCGAAACATTTTCTGTGTTCTCCACATCTTCTAACATAAGCATGTGGTGAGATAGCCTCGCCGGCTGAGGAGTCAGACTGCTGAGGTTGTAGCTGCGTGACTCTGGGCGAGGTAACGTAGCCTCTGTGGGACTTGCTCTCTCTGTGTCTTTCAGGGTCAGCTAAGGAGGATAATGCTAATATTTAGCTATTAAGCTTGTCGTGAGTAATAGATGACTCCGTTCATGATCTGCATTTAAGGCCAGCACCCAGCATGCAGTGAGTGCTTAACATTCAGCTCTTATTTTGCCTTACTTTTATGGTCAGACAATATATTTCAATTCTTTAAATTGGTCAGAGATTGGCAGCCGCTCTATAAATCTGAGGAGGAAGGAATCGCTGACTGAGAGGCTGTCTTGGAAATCTGAACGCATCCCCATCACTGTCTGCTTGTGAAGTCGGCCTGGGTGGTCCCTGAAAAACTGAAACATGAACCATCTTTTCAACCATGTTATCCCCCCGGCCCCCCGGCCCCCAAACTGATGGGTCTTGACTTGTTTGTCTTTCTCAGGGAGGAGCGTTTTATTTCTGCGAGCACGTCGCGGCTAAGCCTTCCACCTGGACCTACTTCTGGCAGCAGGTCCTGGATCCTGTCTGGTTCCTTGTGTTCGATGGGTGCAACCTGACCCGCGAGAGCTGGAAGCCCCTGGAGCAGGCCAGCTTTTCTCAGCTGCAGCTGCAACACGTGCAGGCCCCCCTCTCCTGGGAACTGGTGCGCCCCCACATCTTCGGGTACTCTGTGAAATAGTTTGGAGCCCAAGGCCTGCGGTGACGGGGCCCAGTGGCTCAAGGAATGTTAAGCTTTCATTTTATAATTACATAATGTACTAGTTGGGAGAAGAAAGCCTGTTTTTAGTTAAACTTTAGTATCATCCTTGAAGGTGTTCTGTTATATTCTGTAAAGCTATATTCTATTGTGTCCCAAGGAATTAAAAACAACAAAAAAAGCTTTGAACATTCTCTTGAAAACAAACAAGAAGCAGTCACAATTGAGATCCATCCGGACCCTTGTTCTGTGCTTTATTCAGTAATGCCAACTCCCTCTACCTCCCATTTCTATCATTTAAATTGTTAGCAACAGATTTTAATTCCATCTCTTCTTTGCAAAATTGGAGCTAATCAACAGTTAAATTGCCCCCCCCCCACCTTTTTAAGGGACAAGTGAAAAGATCAGAGTCATTCACCAAGTGAATAAATACTAAAAAAATTGAAAATCCATGTCTAAAATGAACAAACTTTAAACTTTCTGGGGGAAAAAAATCTGTTTGGCACTCTTCATGGAATTAAGATGATAAGGATGCTGTTTCCAGTTCTGCCCAATGCTGTTCTGTCTTGTATTCCAGGACTCCACCAAAGTTTAGTTTTCTGCATTCTAATCCTCAGTTCTTAAGATAAAGATTGTACTGGATGTACTGTATTAACAAACCAAACCCAAACCACCAAGCCATTGCTGTTGACTGGATCCCAACTCTTGGCAGCCCTATAGCAGCACAGAGCTGCTCCCATAAATCTTTTTCAATGCTGACCTTTCCATTCGTGTCCAACTTCCTGGCAGCAATCCTGTGGGGCAGGGTGAGGAGCTGTGGTGGTGCTGTTTGGTCAGACTCGAAGTCCCAAGGCACAGAATACCACCTCTTTCTCCTGTAGGGTGGCTGTTGGCTTCAAACTGCCACCCTGCCAGTAGATCACTTACCACTCTGCCACATGGCTCCTTGCTTGACATCTTAGACTCTCCGTAATGCTAGAGACAAATAAGGTTTAGGGCTCATTTCCCTAACTGACCTTTGCTGACTGTAGTGGGTTGCAGATGAGGATGAGATAGGGCCCATGGTAACGGGACAAACCTTGTATAAGATGCAATGTAAGAGCCACTAAAGACCAGGCAACCTGAGAATATAAAAAGAGGAAGTACATAAGTACTTTTTGGATTATTCTGATCAAATTACACTTCTATTCCAAGATGATTTCTTTGTCCTTTGCAACTATGCAAACCTGTGAAAAATATTCTTAAGTGCATTGAAAACAAGGGTTCGGTTGGTTAGTCAGATGGTGTAACTATAGCAGTTTTAAGAATTGTATGTATCTTAATAAATTGGTTTTTTTCTGAGATGAGTTTGCAAAGGGATTGTTTTAAGAATCAAATTAATATATTCCCATTTATGTTTGGAATGGAAATAAAATAAATGACTTACGTATTTGCAAGTTTGCCTTTGTTTTTCTGACCGTCTCTGGGGAGTTTCTCCTTCGCGGTGAATTCATCTACGGGTTGATCTTCCTCGAGTGCTCATTACACTCATTGCCATCGAGTTGATTTCCACTCTATAAACACTCACTCACTGCCATTGAGTCGATTCTGACTCACAGCAATCTTACAGGACAAAGCAGAGCTGCCCCTGTGGGTTTCCACAGGAGCCCTGGTGACCTAGTAGTTGTGGGCTGCTAACAGAAAGGTCAACAGTTCAAAACTATCAGTTGCTTCTTGGGAGAAAGATGAGGCTTTCTTCCCCCGTAAACAGTTACAGCCTTTGAAGTCCTGCAGGTTCACAATGAGTCAAAATTGATGTGATAGTTAGGTTTATTGGGCCAACCTGGCCAATAGGAACATGTGGGCAGAGATTAATTAGGTCACAGTTTGATTGGAGGGCAAAGAGATAAATGGCTCTGCAAGGCCCGCCTTGGTTTCACTTGCTCTCTGGTGATTGGACCATTTGCTCTCTGCTGCTTTAGCTAGTTCTCTGCCTCAACCTGTGAGCTACACTACCTGTGGCCAAGTCTCTAGAGCATGTCTAGGTCGTGTCTCTAGAGCTTGAGGCTTCTTTGAGACCTACTTCCTTCCCCAAAGCTGCTCATGCATACCTCTGAGGCTGGGGATCCTGTTGCCTTGCATTGCTTGAGTTCAATATCCGATCGGGGCCTGCTAAGCTCCCCTGCTACTGACTGCTGTTGACAGTTGCTGACCCACCCTGCTGTCTGCTGCCTGTGGGCAGACTCTGCCTGTTTTGCCTGAGGGAAGACTCAGCTGTCCGCTTCCTTGACCTTGGACTGAAGCCTCCTTGATGAGTTGAAGGACTTTCAGTATATTAACTGTTCCACAAAAGTGAGTTGAACTGAGCCCTCTGTACTGCTGTATGGCCTAATTATCTGTTATATTCCTTCTTACTGTATAAAGCTA